GTTGCATTTGAAAGAGAACCGATACCGAAGCCCATAACCATACCCATCTTGATAGCACCTGTTTTTTCACTTTTACTACGATATTTAATAATCGAAATTTCCTGATGAAGAGAGTATTGTTCTTTTTCGAGATTTGATTTATAAGATTGAAAATCATTTGAAATACGGTTTAAATTAAGAGATATATCTTTGTAACCTTTTCGAATTAAATTACATTCTTTCAAAATTTCAGATATGGTTAATTCAGATTTTGAAGTATAAGATATGAATTCTGAATTTTTAAGTTTTTCAAAATTTACAATAATATCAGCGGTGGATCGAGTTAAATTAGAACATTGCGAGCTACTTGCTTTTGTTAAATTTTTAAAGGCACGTCCTTGTATTCCTATTTCATAAACCAACCGGGAAAGGATTTCATCTTTGATCGTCGATGCAGGGTAATTTGCAAAACGTTTAAGTGTAGCTTCTGCACCTTTCAAATCAATATTTGTGGGAGAGATAAAATTCCATTTATCTTGAATCATTTAAGATGCTTAAGAGTTTTGTGTCTTTTTAAATGTGAAAAATTAAATTATACTTGTTAGATAAGGTGCATGTATTTGGCAGATGTCCCAGAACAAAAAAAAAAAATTTATGACTTTACATTATATTAAAGAAACAATATCGGACTAGTATAAATTCTTACCGTTACCGAAAAATAGTGATCTTGAAAAAGGTGTTTGGCAAAGTTGAATGTATAATATAAATAAAGATTCATGGATCTTTTTATAAATGCCATGCAGCAAATCGTTTATTGGGCTTCATGTGAGTTTTTATCATTGTGCTGATGTTATGCGATAATTATAGTTATTATACAGTTTTATTATACATATACTTATCAAGTGCGCCAATTGTTATAAATGGTAAAGCAGTTCGAAAAGTATTAATGCAGTTTATTTATTCCAGAAACATCTAAAATCATCGGGTCATCATTGCACCGACTATTATTATTTGTTATATGCGTGTTGTTTATTTGTTCAGAGTATATGGTATCAGAATGTTGTACGATGCATTAATTAGATCTTTTATTGGTACGGTACTTTATTCTCAACACAGAAATCAAAAACAAATATTAAATTTCTATGCACTACGTACGTACGTATGTTAATGCATACTTAAAATTGTCAATAAATAACACGGATGATGCTTAAATTGGCTGATGCTGAAACTTGATAGGAAATTTTAAAATTCCTTGATTTTTTTTTTAGGGTTTAGGATTTAGAGTTAATACACTAAAACCAATTTATTTGTACAAAAAAACAGTCTTTATGTACTTACAATAAATAAAAGTTTCAAGAATACGTCTCGTTAGCTTCTAATCATGAATATCTTGATTCATCTTCGTTGAATCGTACGATATAAAGTCTTTCGATTTGATCGACGAATTTTGTGATATTAATAATATAATCTTTCACTTTGTTAGGCTTTATTAGGGGGCATGCTTGGACAAATTCTAGGATATGTTATACAAGAAAAGAAATACCAACCTCCATTTGAGTGCCGCCAAGGGAAAATGTCCCTCTGATAATTATAGATGATTCAGCCCTTCTGATCAACGACGTATCGGGCTT